AAACATAATAAATATAACAAGTCATTAGTAAATATAAGTTACCTATAAAGGGAAGAAACAAGACATAATCTCCAATTCCAATAGTTTCACTTATAGTTAAACGCCCTAAAAATTAAAATTAAAATAATTAATAAACAATTTGAAATATTAATGACATTAACATAAAAAAATAAAACAATTTGGCATACCTTTAGATAGAAGACTCGTTAACTACAATAAGATATTCTTCATCCTTATCCTCTGACTCAAAACCATACAACCAATTACGGGATGTTACACAGGTCTCAACATTTTTAGGTAAGAGTTTAGCTCTGAATTTGTTCAAAATTCGACCCCCCATACTAAAGGACGATTCAGATGCAATTGAAGTAATTGGAATAGCCAATGTATCTCTCACCATGCGAGAAAGTACCGGATACGAAATACTTTAATTTTTCCAATACTCCAAAATATCAAAGCCAGATTCTCCAGTATGAGGGACAAGGGGCAAACTGATGTAATAGTCAATATCAGATTGTCCACTCCTTGAAGCAGCTAAATTTGCATCAAATTTTTGAAAAATGAAAGATAAAAATTATTAAATGAAAACAGGAAATAAATAAGATAAATTTCAACTCGAAATTATAATAAATAACCTGAAATAGATCTGATTTTCTAAATGTTTGAGGCCGATTCGAACTTGAGTCACTTCTATCTAAGGATATGTTACTTTGGATAGAAGAAGAAGAGGAAGACCCACAAGGTGAATTTTTTTAATAAAATACATATAACTAAAGAAACTCATTATAAATAAGACTTACCCTCCATTGAACCTCATTCTCAACATAAAGAACATTGTACAACTCCTTCAGAAGTTATAATTTATATTGATGATCAAGTAAAATAGCAAAAGACAGAATCATTGAGTGATCAGACCAATATTTCTCATATAATTCAAGCATAGGTCATGCCATTGTAGAAATACCTTCACAAGGATCATTATGAGCATCACAAAACAATTTTTCAATTGCAACAACATTATCCAAATACAAGTTAGAAGTGTGATACTTAGAATCAGATAACAGAGTAGTAATTTCATAAAAAGGCTAAAGAAAATTTCAGATTGTTTGAGCAATTTCTCACTCATGATCAGTAATGATATCCAACTTATTTTCCCAATTAACAAACAAGTTAATTGCTAATATTCTAGCCTCAAATGCCCTATGAATCATCAAGTAAGTAGAATTCCATCGAGTAGGAACATTCAATAGTAACTTACCAGAGAAAGAAAAATCACAGTCTTTAACAACTAATTCAAAGGCACAAAGTCGAGAGTCAGAAGAATCAATAAACTTAATAATCTCACGCAATTTAATAAAAGAATAATCAATTACCTTTAAACCTTTTTTGAACAATCAACATCAAAATGTGGGCAACACACCTTATATGGAAGTACTTACCATTGTAGGGAAGAGGAGAAATGACATTCAAATCATCTTTCAGTCTCTTAACAATTTTATCATTTGTAAAAGCATTATCAAGTGTAATAGTAAATGTTTTTTTTCAAGACCCCACTCACATATCATCTTTTTAACAAACTTAAAGATAATTCACCATCATAAGGAGGAGGAAAATGATGAAAATTAAGTATTTTAGATTTAAGTGTCCATTTATTATCAACATAATGAGTAGTAAGAGCAAAGTGAAGTACATACATACCAACCATTACATTTAAAACAAACACGACTTGAAACATAATGCATTGAATCAAGTAGCAATTTTTTATACTTTTCATGCTCCAACATACAATACTTAGTAACAGTATACCTAGATATATCCTTAACAGAAGAATTGAGGCAATGATGCAAATCCCTATGTTTTTCATGCTCAACAATACTATATGCATAACCATGACACATAATAGCCTCAACAAACAATTCACAGTAATTGTTTTGATCAAAAGAACTTACCAAAGCATGATTTTCAACAAGATATTCCTTATAAGATCGACATTTCTCAGTATGCCTTCTAGGGTTAGATGTACCAATATAAGAACCAACTTTATATCTTTTAATTTTGCAATACTTACACTCGGCATAAACAAAACCATCGGAGATTTGATGAAGGTGTAATGCTCCCAAACAAGAGAAGTTCTCCCAAACTTGGTTGAACATGTAGCCTTCATCTGAGAAGATCTATTGACATCAACTGCTTCAGATAGTAGATCATTTACATCACCTTGCAAAAAATAAACTAAGGTTAGTATACAAAATTAAAATTTTAAATATATATATATAAATAAAGCATATAAAAAAACAGGAATGGGCATTTTACCTCTTTCAGAATGTTCTTCATTATGATATGTTGAGGTTTTTCCTAAAAAAACAAATGAAGAATATATTAATTCGAATATTAAAATAAAAAAAGAATGACAAATACCTGGACAATTCAACTTGTAAGACACATTATCCATGAAACCGTAGAAAAAATAAAGGTTTTGAATATTTTGTAACAGTCTTGGTTAGATATAGGTTTACAAAATATGAATAGAGACAGAGGAAGAAGATGATGAACAATATCAGTTAGGGTTAGAGAAGATGTATAGAAGAAGAAGAAGAAGATGAATAATAAGAGTTAGGGTTAGAAAAGATGAACAAAGACAGAAGATGAAAATGTTTAATTTGGGTTCAGGGTTAGAGAAGATAACCAGAGATAGAAGATGAAGAGGCTATGTTAGGGTTTAGGATTAGAGAAGATGAATAGAGATAAAAAGTGAAGAGGCTCTGTTAAGGTTTGAGTCAGAGAAGAAAAATAGTTGTGGGTTTGATCTAAAAATAGTTTGGGTTTTTGTTTTCGGTGTTTGTAAGGATCAAATAAGGGTTTGGGGTTTGATTTAAAAATAGGTTAGTTTTAAGTTTTTGGTGTTTGTAAGGATCAAAGAATGGTTTGGGGAAGAATAGGGATGAACAAAGGTTGAATTTTTGGGTGTTTGATCGTAAACACGGGAATGAGTTTGGGTTTTGGTGTTTGTGAAGATCAAATGAGTGTTTTGGGGATGAACACGAATAAACAACGATTTAAATTTTAGGCGTTTGATCGAAAAACCAGGAAATGGTTTGGGTTTTGGTGTTTATGAAGATCAAATAAGGGTTTTTGGGATGAACACGAATGGACAAAGGATGAACACAAATGAATTTCTAGAGAGAAGTCAGAGAATTTTGAGAGAATTATAGAATTTTGAGAGAATCAGAGAGTTAGAGAGAGAGAGAGAGAGCAAAATCACAAAATGAGAAAAAAAGGGAAAATGGCTGAAATTGGAAAATTTTTGGCATATATATGAGTCCAATCCAAATTCAGGTTAGGGTTTTGTCGTGCATGTTTTTTAACTTCATTTGGCATTGTACCCTAGTTTTAAATTTGTTCAATTTAATCCAAATTTAATGATACAACTTATTAATTTAAGCTTCATATTTTAAATTTGTTCAATTTAATCCTTATATATTTTTCAATTATTTCAATTAATATATGTTTATATTAATAAATTAATAAATAATTTATATATACTAATAAATTATATAATATATAGTTTATATATACTAATGAACTATATACTATATAGTTTATATATACTAATGAACTATATCCTATATAGTTTCTATATACTAATGAACTATATCCTATATAGTTTCTATATACTATATAGTTTATAAATACTAATGAACTATATAATATATATAGTTTATATTAATAAACTATACAATATATAGTTTATATTTATATATACCAATGAATTATATAGTTTATATAAACTAATGAACTATATGATCTATATACTATACATTTTATATATAGTTTAAACTAATGAACTATATAATATATAATTTATATGTACTAATGAACTATATACTATATAGTTTATATATACTAATGAACTATAATATATATATATATATATTAATAAAGTATAAAGTATATAGTTTATATATAGTATATAAAAATTATAAATATAAACTATATAGTTTATATATATTATATTAATATATATATATATATAAATATAAATTAATATATTATAATTGTTTTAATTTTTTCTTAACTTTTGAAATGAATGCAATTTACTTTATTTTTCATATTTGCTTTATATTTTACAATTATTTTGATTTCATCCTTTTATGTTCTTTGCTTTATTTAAATTTTAATTCGTTCATTTCCATGTGTATTCAATTTAGTCATTAAATTTATAGTTGCATCTGAATTTGATCCATTCTTATTTCTTATTTATATTTTTTGTAATTAGCCTATAAATTTTTAAATGAGTATAATTTAGTCCTTTTCTGTATTAATTTCAACCTGACATTTTAAAATTATTTCGATTTGGTCCCTCATCAATGTGTATTGTTTAATTTATTTAAATTTTTATTTGTAATTTTATATTTGTTCAATTTAGTCCTTAAATTTATATTTTTCATAAAATTGATCCATGATTATTTATATTCTTAGTAATTTACTCTAAATCATATATAATTACAAATTGCAATTCAACATTCGTGAAAGACGAAAAATAATTAATCTAAAAATAAAAATTGACCCGATCTGAACTCAATCCGTATCTGATAAAGATCTGACCTAAATTTTATTTGCCAATGATATGACCCGATCTGAACGAGACTCGCATGAAATCCATTCGAACCTGAATTAACCTGGTCTTTAACTGATCCGAACCTAAACTGTTTTGACCTGAACTGACATTGATCCGAACTAAAAGTAACCCTAACTAAAACTGATGTCAAATCAACCTTAAAATGACTCGACCTGATTTAACCTGAACCCGATCTAATCCGAGTCGAAGTATCAAATTGACTTGACTTGACATGTATCCGATTTTACCCGACCTGACAGGATCCGATTGAAACCTAAACGATTACCAGATTTTACATCCCTATAAATAACAGGCAAAACCTCAGGATTGTATATATTTTAATTTAGAGCCGTTTCATAATTGATTTTTTATACAAATATCCTGATATGGTATTGTGAAGAAAGATAAAATTAAAGAGTAATGGAAGTTGTTAAGGGAACAGTGTGTGTGACGGGAGGCACTGGGTTCATACCTTCGTGGCTGATCAAAAGGCTATTAGAAGAGGGTTATTTCGTTCGTACCACTGTTAGACCTAATCCAGGTAACAAAAGAGACCTTAGTTTCCTCACCAATATGCAATGATTGTTGCGGAAGACGGCTATCGGATAGAACAAAATCGCAACTGATAATTGGAGAAAATAAAAATGAAGATAAAAGAGACACAAAATTTACGTGGAAAACCCCTAAAAAATTTAGGGTAAAAACCACGGGCAACGGTAGAAGAATTTCACTATGAGAAAATAGGAATTACAACCTCTCTCGATCTACCAAGGAGAAAACAATGATAATTCTCTCTTGATAAAAAAGGAGAAAACAACTCTCAAGAAACTCTCTAAATTCTCTTTAGTATTGGAAGAAAGCTATAATGCTTTGGGATGGTTTTGAAGCTAAATAAGATAGGGTATTTATAGCTAAATCTTAAGGACTTAATCTTGTAAATACCCTAAATTTTAGTGACTAGAGTTTGTAATTTGACCATATAAAAAATAATAAAAAATTATGCACCTAATTTTCGGTGCCAACCCATTTATTATTTTTGACTTTCTACAATCTCTCACTTGAAGATTTGATTGGAACAATCATATCTTCACACCATTCTTTCTACCTTGTACCATTATGTTGCTTACGTCTCTGACAGGCCACAGGAGGATCGACACCAAGTAAATTTATCAGTATTTATCGCCTTCGTCATGAAATCTTCTATGTTGTCTTTGGTATGGATTTTTTGCATATCTATCGTCCCTTCTTCCACCTTTTCACGAATGAAATGGTATTGAACTCGTATGTGCTTTGTCCTTGAATGAAATGCTGGATTCCTTGCTAAATGCAAGGCGCTTTGACCATCACAAAATAGAGAGACATACTCTTGATTGTGCCCAAGCTCCTCCAATAGCATCTTCAACCAAATTGCTTCTTTACTGGCTTGTGTAGCTGCTACAAATTCTGCCTCTGTTGTGGATGTAGCCATAACTAACTGTAATTTTAAAACCCAGCTTACAGCTCCACCAGCAACTGTGAACACATATCCTGTAGTAGATTTGCTTTTATCCAAATCCCCTGCATAGTCAGAATCTACATACCCATTGATTAGTAAGTTTGATCCTCCGTAATATAATGCAATATTTGAGGTCCCTTTGATGTATCTCAGGATACTCTTTACTATATTCCAATGCTCTTTTCCTGGATTCGCCATGTACCGACTAACCATTCCCACTGCTTGTGCAATGTCTGGTCTTATGCATATCATAGCGAACATTAAGCTTCCCACTACTGATGCATACGGTACTCGAGACATCTCCATCCTCTCTTCTTCACTGCTAGGACTCATACTGGAGGATAATTTGAAGTTAATAGGAAGAGGGGTAGAAATTGGCTTACAATCTTGCATGCTAAATCGTGACAAGATTTTCTTCAAGTAATTCTTTTGTAAAAGCCAAATCTTCCTATTACTTCTGTCTCGGTGAATTTGCATCCTTAAAATCTTGTTTGCTGATCCCAAGTCCTTCATTTCAAATTCCCTAGCCAGTTGTGCCTTCAATTCTTCAATATGATCTTTGTTGGGTCCTGCAACCAATATGTCATCCACATACAACAGCAATATAACAAAATCGTTATCACCATACCTCTTGAAATAAGCACAAGGGTCAGCATTAAGTCTGTTGTATCCAAGACACATAATGAAAGAATCAAATCTCTTATACCAACACCTCGGCGCCTGCTTTTGACCGTACAAATATTTGTTCAACCTGCAAACCAAGTTCTTCTTTTCGTCTTCTTCAAAACCTTTAGGCTGGAGCATATAAATCTCTTCTTCAAGATTTCCATGAAGAAAAGCTGTTTTAACATCTAGTTGCTCTAGATGTAAGTTCAACGTAGCACACATTGCCAAAACTACTCAAACTTGTTTTAGTCGAACCACAGGAGAAAATATTTCATTGAAATCAATACCTTCCTTTTGAGCATATCCTTTGACCACCAATCTTGCACAATACCTCTCAACTTGATCGTCATCATTTCGCTTAATTTTGAAGACCTATTTGTTACCAATTGGCTTCCTTCCTTGTGGTAGTGGCACAAGGTCCCATGTATTATTTTTATGAAGGGCTTCGATTTCTTCTTGCATCGCCATCATCCACAGTGAAGTATCTGAGCTGTTTATTGCCTTCTGGTATGCTGATGGCTCACCGGCCTCTGTTAAAAGACAGTATGCAATATTACCTTCTATAACATAATCTGAATGCCAATTGGGACGTCTTCTCACACGATCTGATTGACGAGTTGTTGTAGCTTCAGAACTCTCTGGTTCTTGTTCATCATGTACTGGTTCTGCTTCAGAAGAATCTTCTTGTTCAACCTCATTTTCCACATGTATCTGAGTAGTCTCTGAATTTTCAGTGCTATCATCGTCTTCTTTTATTTGTAGTTTATCCTCTACAAAGATAACATCCCTGCTGATGATCACTTTGCGGGTAGTGAGATCCCACAAGCGATACCCCTTGACTCCATCAACATACCCCAAGAATTTGCATTTCTTGGATTTTGGATCCAACTTTGAAATTTCTTGGGCGTTGTTCATCACGTACACAATACTTCCAAATATATGGAGGTTTGAATAATCAGCTGGTTTATCAGTCCACATCTCCATTGGTGTCTTCAGCTCTATTGCAGTTGATGGAGCTCGATTCACCAAATAACAGGCGGTATTGACTGCTTCTGCCCAGAATGATTTTTCTAGGCCTGCATCCCTCAACATTGCTCTTGTTCTTTCTAACAAGGTTCTGTTCATCCGCTCTACCACTCCATTTTTTTGAGGAGTGTTTGTCAATGTGAACTGTCTTTTGATGCCTTATTTCTTGCAAAAGTCATCAAATTCTTCACTTGTGTATTCTTCTCCATTATCTGTTCTAAAACACTTGATCTTATTTCTAGAATCAAGTTCCACCCGCGCTTTGAAGTTTTTGAAAGTGGAAAACACATATGACTTCTTCTTAATAGGGTACACCCAACATCTCCTGGAGTAGTCATCAATAAATGAGACAAAGTATTTTGCTCCGCCTAGGGATGTAACTGGTGCTTGCCATACATCAGAGTGAACCAATTCTAGAACACTTTTGGCTCTAGAATTTGACGTGTTGAATTTCAACCGGTGCTGCTTGCTTGTTACGCAATGCTCACACAAAGGAAGTGTTACCTTTGTTAAGCCTGGAAGTAGTTTTTGCTCCACAAGGACTTTCATTCCTTGTTCTGACATGTGTCCAAGTTTCTGATGCCATAACATTGCAGAATCTGAACTACATAAGGCAACAGAGGCTTCTGCTTCTAGCAAAGTCTCTCCCTTCAGCATGTACAAGTTTGTTTCTATCTTTTCGCCTTTCAGCACCATAAGCGCTCCACGAAACACCTTCATGATTCCTTTCTGTGTTTCAATCTTACTTGCATTATTATCCAACAATCTGTAGGATAATAAATTTTTCTTCAGGCCTTTCACGTGCCGCACATCTCGAACAACTTTAATTGTTCCATCATACATCTTCAATTTGATGGTTCCCACACCAATGATCTCTAAGGCATGATCATTGTAACTATACACAGATCCTCCTGAGACAGGTTCATAATGATGGAACTATTCTCTTCTTGAGGTCATGTGATATGTTGCTCCTGAATCAATGAGCCATATATCTGCAAATTGTTTTCTACCTTCCACGGTGGTTGACGCTTCACAGCATAGAGCATCTCCATCATCTGAAGTGTTTGCGGTATTGCCTTGTGGATTGGAGTTTTTATTTAGACTCCAACAATCCTTCTTCAAGTGACCCTTCTTTCCACAACGGTAGCACTTTAAATTCTTTTTACTTCTTGACTTCGATCTACCATGTTTGTGACTGCTGCTTTGGCCACGTTCTGTTGATCCCCCTCTCATCGTTGTCAAAGCTTCTGCTTGTTGCAGATTTACTTGTCTGTCTTCCTTGTTCTTGCGTCGATTTTCTTCTTGTAGAACAGCAGCTGCAACGTCATCGAAGACTAGACTGGTGACATTATTATTTGTCAAGTTGATGATGAGTTGATCATACGAATCCGGTAGGCTTTGAAGTAGAAGTTCAACACGTTCTTGTTCTCCTATTTTACAGCTTAAGGATGTAAGTTGAGAAAATAAAGTGTTCAACGTGTTTAAGTGCTCCGTCACTGAAGTAGATTCTGGCATCCGGAGAGTGTACAATTTCCTCTTAAGGAAAATTTTATTGTGCAGCGATGTGGCCTCATACAATTTGGTGAGATGATCCCATATCTCCTTTGCTATCTTCTTCTCCTCGATGCTTGACAATACTTCATCTGCTAATGCTAGATGAAAGTTTGCCATAGCATTCCCGTCCATTTCGATCCATTTGTTGTCATCTGTGAAATCCACCGGCATTTCACTGATAGCTGCTAGACAACCGTCTTTCCTCAGGATGGCCTTCATCTTCAATTTCCACAATGAGAAATTTCTCCCATTGAATTTTTCAATATCAAATTTCGTTGCAATAGCTTCTTTTACGGATAGCTCCCACTATTTCCCTATCGTGAATAGTTCTTTGGAACCTTCAAATAATGGGTAATAACTTCTTATTTTCTTATGTTGGAGGATCTACCTTTTGGTGGCAACCAAAAAGACAATAAGCAGATATTACACACTCTAATCTAGCTCTGATACCAATTGTTGCGGAAGACGGCTATCGGATAGAACAAAATCGCAACTGATAATTTGAGAAAATAAAAATGAAGATAAAAAAGACACAAAATTTACGTGAAAAATCCCTAAAAAATTTAGGGTAAAAACCACGGGCAACGGTAGAAGAATTTCACTATGAGAAAATAGGAATTACAACCTCTCTCGATCTACCATGGAGAAAACAATGATAATTCTCTCTTGATAAAAAGGGAGAAAACAACTCTCAAGAAACTCTCTAAATTCTCTCTAGTATTGGAAGAAAGCTAGAATGCTTTGGGATGGTTTTAAAGCTAAATGAGATAGGGTATTTATAGCTAAATCTTAAGGACTTAATCTTGTAAATACCCTAAATTTTTGTGACTAGAGTTTGTAATTTGACCATATAAAAAATAATAAAAAATTATGCACCTAATTTTCGGTGCCAACCCATTTATTATTTTTGACTTTCTACAATGATCGGCCGAAAGAGTAGATCTTAATGATCCCGATAGGTTCAATACGGCCATTGAGGGGAGCAAAGGAGTGTTCCATATTGCCACTCCTGTCGATTACGAGTACAAAGAGTCTGAGGAAATCATAACTGAAAGGGAAATCAGTGGAACACTATGCATCTTGAAGGCTTGCTTGAAATCAGAAACAGTGAAGAGAGTTGTCTATACTTCTAGTGCATCAACCGTTGTACACAGCGGCCAGGATTCGGACATGGTGGATGAGAGTTTCTGGTCTGATGTGGATTTCTTTAGAGAAAAAGAAACCCCAAGCTTTCTTTCTTACTCGATTTTCAAGACATAGACAGAAAGGACGACTCTTGAGTTTGTTGAAGAACATGGACTGGATGTGGTGACAATGATTCCTAGTGTTGTAGTTGGTCCTTTCATATGCCCCAAGCTCCCAAGCTCAGTGAGCTCATCATTGGCTCTGGTCTTAGGTACATGATCCTTACCTGTTTTGCCCTAAATTGATATTTTAATTTGCTTCAAAGTTTTCGACTGCAACAATAACCTGGTGTCTGGTTTAATTATCATTATAAAATCAGTTTGATCGCATGTTAACCTATTAGTTTTTTCGTTTTTTATTCATTGTCTTTGTTTCTTAAGTGAATCTTATCGTTTTTTGTTTGTGGGATGAGAAACTAGATTCCTTAAAAAAGTAATGTCAAGGGTTCTAATCCTAGGGTTTGCAAATGGAAGAAACTGAGTTGGGAGGGTCGTCCTTGCCTCTGTAGTATACGATCTGGATTAGTAGATCAATAAATCAAATATCAGTTATTAATTAAAAAATCTAGGTTTTTATGTTATTTTATAAGTCAACGTTCATATTCATTGATAATTTAACCATTATTATTTTTTATTTATTAATTTTAGGCTCTTAGATGCCCAACGTTTTATTCCGCTATCATTTTAAGATTTGATTCGTCTCTAAAAAAAGTATGTCGTATAATCCCTAAGATCTCTAATTTCTCATAAAACTCCTGAAATCTTTAATTTTCTAAAATAACCTTAAAACCCTTCTTTTCCTCCTTTCACCGTTTGTCGTCGAATAACGCCAACCCATCATTGTAGCAATGAACATCTGACGAGTCTTCAGCTCTCACCTCATTGTAAGTCATTCGTTTGTTGTCCGTCAAAGAAAGAGTGATCTAATTGATAGTAGGGGTGGGGTTTGACGATAGAAAAGTGAGTGATGGTGGTTGATTAAGGTAGAAAAATGAATTTAGGGATTTAAGTTTTTTTAAATAGAAATTTTAGAGGTTTTTTATTCGAAAAATTGATTAACTTAAAATGATAACATAATAAAACATTAGACACTTATGTTTCAAAAAATAGTTCAATACTTAAATAGAAAAAAATATAGTTTGGACACTTATTTTTTTAATTAAATCTATTTGAAAAGTCACATTTTCATAGTAATGTAACTAAAATTTTAAATTTGAGTCTTTCAAAAAATTATTTAATGAAAGAATTTTATTATCTTTATAATCCCATATAACTTAACAAAATTAGTCTCATAATTCATAAAGAAAATGCATAGTTTTCTTCTACTGATTTCATCATGAGAAAAGTGCAGTGCACTGAGGCGATGAAGGTAAATAATTTTACCGGGAACCATTCTGAATACAGTTCTCGTCTAAATACATCCATGGTGCATGTTGATGACGTGGCAAGGGCACATATTTTCCTTCTTGAATATTCTGATGCGATGGGCACAAATGTTCAAACTTACGTTATAATCATGTCCGTCTCAAAAATATATAGTCCTGATATATACTTTTAAAATATGTTTCATAAATTATTTTATAATAAGGTAAAATTATAAAATATTAAAATTTAGAGTTAATTACATCATATATCTTGAAAGTATGGTCTTAATTTTAAATTGGCCCCTAAACCTTTAAATGTTTCAATTTCATCCTTATTCTCTGACTATCATTCTAAATTAATCCTCAAACTTTTTATTATTTCAATCTCATCCCCAAACTATAACTTTCATTCCAAACTATTCCCCAAACTTTTTGAACATTCCAATTTCATCCCAAACTATACGTATATACTAATCACATCTCTTATTAATAAAATTGTTAGGCCAAATTATATTATTATATGTCTAAAAAAAATAAAATCTTGGTTAAACTATGGTTGAAAATACTTACATGTTTGGATGAATTTGGGGATGAAATTAGAATTTTTAAAAGTTTGGGGACTAATTTAGAAAGATGGTCATAGTTTAGGGATGAAATTAGAATGTTCAAAAGTTTAATGACTAATTTAGAGTGAGTTTCATATTATGAGGAAATGTATGATGATGCTATCAAAGGTGTATGATGATGCTATCAACTGTTGCAAATATAATTATGGGGTCGAGGAAATGTATGATGATGCTATCAATGGTTGCAAGGAAAGAGGATATCTATAGTTTCCCTATATTGATCATCTCTAAGATAATATATAAATATACATATTTTCATAATGGTGCCAAAACTGAAGGGAAGGGAGCAAATGCATGAAGGAATATGTGATTGAGGCTATTCAAAGATGAACAATTGGTTCCTTTGAATCCTCTAAGACTCTAACAAAGAGATACAAGAGTGTTTGTGGATGAAGCTTTGTTATGATGTAAATCAGATAAATCATTGTATGTTGATGTTGTTTTGTGGTTCCAAATTCGTTTGGGTTCCTTCATGTAGAGGTGTAAAAAATTGATCTGACCTATAAAATTGATTGAAATTGATTCGAGTCTAAATTGTTTGTGATTTGAGGTGGTGATGAATCGAAATCAATTCGATTCCGAACTAATGTTGACTTGAATCTGAGTTGGACTTGATTATTCTGGATCTGAACCCGACTTGCACTCGACTTGAATCCAAATTGAACCTAATAATGTGATAACCGAACCCTACTTGCATCTGACTTGATATGAACTCGAACCCAAGATTAATCTGGTAAATAATCAATATAGCCTGACTTGAAACAATCCAAGATCTGATTTTACCCTACTTATTATCAATTCGGCCTATAATTGATTTAACATGTTCTTGGCCGACATGTTAATTGACCCAATCTATAATTGATCCAACATGATATTATTATATTTATGATTTAAGGTTAATGATTTTATGGGTTTAGTGTTTAGGATGTACTTATTTTTATAAATGTGTACAATTGAATCAAGATCAATATTTTATGTATACAAAATTGAGTTAAAATCAAAGTTTAATTTTATAATTATGTTAAATCAAAGTTAATTATTATATTACATATATAATCAAAGTTTTTGTGGAAGTATAGATAAGAATAGTAATGTCGTATTTTTTTTCGGTAATGTTATGCCTTTGATTAAATATTTAAATTAATGTTTTATGTGTACAATTGAATTAAAATTAAAGTTTCTTGTATACAATTACAACAAAATCAAAATTTTATGAGTATAATTATATTAAATCAAAATTTATACTTTATATGTTATGTTATACATTAACATTTAATCAAACTTTATGTGTAAATTTAAGCTTTTAAGCGAAATTGACCTTATTTAATTCTATTTTCTTTTATTTTAGTCTAATAATTTTAATATGGTGATATTTATTTTTCATTTTACTCCCTAAAATTAAATTTTTATCCAAAATTGACCCATATTTATTTCTATTTTCTGTAATTTAATCTAAACCCTATAAGGTACATCATAAAGGTATGCGTTAGGAGATAAAATATGAATTCCAAAATGAATAGGTGTAAATAGAACCTCTTCCGATAATCACGTAAAATGTCACCAGACAACACAATCGTAAGAAGATGTCAAACTCAAACTCAAAATTCTTCAACAGTAAACTATGACTCGATAACATATTCTTGGCCTCATTCCTTCGAATTTTATATGTGAAGGAGCCATTGTCCATCACGGAAGGTAGGTGTAACATGTTCTTTCAATGTTTTTGGTGTGAATTCAAGGATGATTACCAGAGTCAACCGGATTAAGTTTAAAATTAATGTTCCATATTTCTATTAGAAATACTCAAATGTAAGAAAACATTTTAACATCATTTGTATTCATGATCAAATGTAACATATTTTTAAGTGTAACATATGTAGCTGTCCAAAAGATTTTTTGAAAAACAAATTTAATTTTTAACTGATTTAAAAAAATATCGTCTCGATTAATTTGGCATTTCCTTTTTAAAATCAAAATAAGACATGGTTCGATGAGTCGCCACCAATATTTGATTAGGGTGTGATTGAGCACCCAAAAACATATTTGTCATTTTAATAAAAATATTAATTTTAATTAAAACAACAAATTTACGGTATGCGTTACCAAAAATTTGAGTTCGGGAGTTGGTTACGCGTGGGGAAGGATTAGCAGCCTCACAACGCCCTAAATTGGTACCTAGTCGATTAATTAGTTGTCTTTGCAATGAAATTTATGAATTCGAGTTTAATTTAATTAAAGATCCCTGCAAATAATATTCTTTGAATTTTATGAAGAAACATAATAATATTTAATTATTTCCTATCAAGAAGAAACGACCTCTCGTGCCTTAAAATAATAATTTCTTACTCCAATCTAAATAAAGAAATATTACTATTTTCTTCTAAAATTCATTATTAATTCGAATGCATAAATGATGATAAAAATTAAAACTAAATACGAATTACCAATCCTTTTAGAAAGAAGACAGATATTTGATTATTTAAAGGTGTCGAGATCAGACCTTTTAAAAGTTCTACCGACCGTTTCTCAAAGAATTTAAATAGGCGAGCATTTCTTTTTCTCTTATTCCCAAATTTACAGTGTAGTCAATTTTTAAGGTTTCACGTAATGGGATACACTTTCATTTTAAAACTATCGAAAGCAACCTTCTTATACATTAGGACAGACACTTCACAATAATCCTAAAATGAACGAATATTACCCTTAGTCAAATTATTTCGATTCGAGTCAAGTAATGCTTATGAGGTTTCATTTATTTTTCATGCAATTTAATTAAAGGATGCCACAAAAATAAATAAAAGGATCTAGATCTATATGTTCAAGTGATCATTTGCACATGTATAATATTTTGAAACATACTTTAAGTAATGCATTAATATTTTATCCTTATCTAATAAAATTAATGTATATATAATAAGTGAAATGGAACCAAAAGACATATAGTATGGCCATTATATATATATATATATATATATATATATATATATATATATATATATATATATATATATATATATAAACACTTTAAACCTTAACGTATATAACATGCATACTATAACACAAACACACACACATATATATATATA